GGGCAACAAAGTGCACTCAAGGCCAGCGTGAACTGTATAGTGAGACCCTGTATTAAAAAAAAAAGGGGGGGGGGGCCAGGGCCGGGGAGATGGCTCAGTGCTCAGTGGAATAAGTGCTTCCCTGGCAAGTGCAAGGGCCTGAGCTCAATCCCTGGTTCCGCCAAAAAAAAAAAAAAAAAGGGCCAGCCAGATAGCTCAGCGAACTAAAGTGCCTACTTAGTACAGCAGCTGGGGGGCACTGCCCTGGCAATTGAGACTGGGCATGGTGGCATGTGTCTGTAATCCCAGTACCTGGGAGGCTAAAATCACTGTGAGTTCAATCTACGTAGTGAGACCCTGTAGATCCTGTACTAAATACACTAAAAAAAAAAAAAAAAAAAAAAAAAAGCCAGCTGACTGCTCTACCAGGCCAACATCTTCCTACTGGAAAACAATTTAGTAGGATCACTGGGCCCCACTGCTCACCTGACCATCATCACATTCCCCACCGGCATACCTGATTTGCCATTAAGAGGGTTTTCTATTCCAAGGTATTGTTGTGTTGGACTCCTTACCTGTAGAGTCCTGGATGGTAGTAGTGGCTAAGATACAAGAGGCAGGACAAGCAAAGCTAAGTATGTTATCAGTTCTGGTAGGGATACATTTTTACCTTTTGCAGAATAAAAAAGGGTCAGTATAAGTAGTTCTCCAGCAAGTGGCCAGTTGTCTTTAGTAGTGCTGAACTGGGGACTCAGTGTTGGTCTCTGTGGCTGACAAATTGAACCATCTGTCAATTTATGATAGCAGTAGTTATGATAACTTTGGGTTAGAGTGGAATACATGCTAAAAAGCCAACGAATAGCTCCCATCTCTGCCACTGTGGCAATTCTGTTCATAAACACACTGCAAGCACTGGGCTAGCTGCTGTAGTCCTGAACAAATAATTTGGTTCATTTGGTCATGTAGTGCTTGGCTGGTCAATACCTTAAGTACTGCTCACAATTTTATCCAATTACTTGTCAGCAAATCCTGTTACCTATTTCCCTATGTTGCTCCAAGCCCCAAGTTCATGTACACTTTATCTCAGGTCATTTTTTCTCCCAAAAGGGATGACCAAAGATGTTACCTGAAGCCCTACATATTGAGATTTCCCCTCATCATTTCAGGGACACTGCTGAGTGGTGTTATTCAGATGCTAGAGTCCCTACCCGGCTTGTTTAATATATCAAGCCAATCCACACATGAAGCACAGCTGTATTTTCCCTTCCTCTGTCAAATGGCCAAAGGAATTCTCATGTGGTCATAGGTATTATCTAAGAAAATAACGTAACAGAGGCAGATGATATGAGGGTGGTAGTGGCTTGAGACCCTCCAATCAATGTAACTTACTTTTTGGGTGTGGTAGCGCATGCGTGTAATCCCGGCACTCCAGAGGCTGAGGCAGGAAGAACAATGCAAGTTCAAGGCCACCTTGGACTACAAAGTGAGTTTAACACCAGCTCAAACTGCAGAGTGGGGCCCTGTCTCATAGCAAAACAAAAACACTGATTTACTTGAGCCACTAAGTTTGCTTGGGCTGCTTCCTGAAGGTACCATCTGTGTTTTACGACGGATTGCTGATATAGCCACTCAGCCTGGACTTGGATGGTCTGAAAATAGCCAGCTGATTGTACATGCAATTGGTCATTCAGCTTTTGTTGGGCCAGAGTCTCTACTGGTGCCTAGCAGCAGGAATAGTGGTGCACGCCTTATAATCACAGTACTTAGAAAGCTGAGGGATATGGATCATGAGTTCAAGGCCAGCCTACCAAAGCCATCTCAAAACAAAGAAACATCTGACGCAGCGCCGCAACTGCGATTACTACTTGCTTACGTTTTCAGTAGTATACTGTTACAGGTCATAAACCATAAAACTTGTGCAAAGGCTAGACAAGTGAACCTAAATGAGGATATGATGGGAGACCCGTACCCCTGTCCTGTAAGTCTTTAAGGGTAGAACTAATGTCTGCCCTTTTACCCATATGTAGTATCACTTTTTATAATTTTGGGAGAGGTGGGAGTGTGGTTAGAGAGCATCTTCTTGGCTTTTCTGCCAAGTGTAAAATGTTCATTCTTTGTCAACATTTGGAAACAGAAGTGAGTATAAAGCAGGTTTTAGACCCCTGTCAGGCAGATTGAGACCAACATTCCATTTATTACCTGACTCCGTATTTCCCTAACATCATTAAGAGTGCAGCCGGGGGTTGAGGTGACAAGCACTCCTGTGGTGCCTGGGGTACTCGGGTGTTACTGTCAGGTTCTGTATCCCCATTTCCCAGCTCTTCTGGGTAACCTCTTCCTAGTGTGTGGTTAACTAAACAAATGCCTCTCTTTTGCTTGATAGTTTTGAGAGTGTAAGAATTATCATAAGCTTAAGAACTAAACAAAAAAATTGTGCCTTTTCTATTAAATTACTGGTCTCAGCCTCAACAATTCTTTTTTTTTTTTTTTTTTTTTTTTTTTGCAGAACTGGGGATTGAACACAAGCCCTTCAGCCTCAACAATTTCGATCTCTATATTATTTATTTTACTGGCTTCCCAATTATCTTGCTCCTAGCACCACCCATGTTCAATTAGCCATGTCTACTTTTGTTTCTAAGCCATACCACACCTTGCTTCTAAGAGCTAAGTGTTACTCTCCAGCATTTGCTAAGATCCCACTGCTCCTAAGAAAATGTTATTAAACATTTTCCACCTGGGAGATAGCTCGGTAGAATAAGCGCTTGCCTGACAAGCACAAGGGTCTGAGTTCAATTTCTGGTCCCTCCAAAAAAAAAAAAATTTTTCCATCTGACTCAATCTAGAGATAGCAAGTGCAAGGTCCTGAGTTCAACTGCTAGTACCGCAACAACAACAAAAAAGACAGCCACTTCTGAAGCTCTCAGAACTGATGGTAATCCCTTCATCAGTTCCTTTCTTATTGCTTTTATTGAAAACAAAAACAGGGCTGGAGAGATGGCTCAGTGGTCTAAAGCACCTACTTGGAACAAGCTCGGCAAAGCACAGGGACCACGGTTCGATCCTCCAGCACCACATGCCAGCCAGCCGCGCCCCCTGGTGGGCTGAGCTGGCCACACACACACAATAAAAATCTTAAAAAAAAAAAAAAAAAATTAAAAAAAAAAAAAAAAAAAAAAGAAAAGCCTCCCACACCCTTCTGAGGAATATGGCCAAATGGGGGCCTTTTTTGTATGGTCTGCCATCTGTACTTCATTTAATGTGGGCCACTTTCTTCTCCGAGTTCCCCAAAGCCATCTCAACAATGTATTATAAATGTCCCTATTATGCAAATTTCATATGAATTCATGAAGCCATCCATAAACCAAAAATTTATTATCTAACATACAAAATTTTGGATAAAAGGGGCATTTCCTGTAAAGCTAAACAGCAGCATAAAACTTTTATTAAACTTAAGCCTTTTATTTTTTTGGTTTTGATGCTGGAAATTTTACCCAGGGTCTTCTCACTGAGCTAAATCCTCATCCTCTTTTGTAATTTGTTTTGAGAGAGGGTCATGCTAAGTCACTGAATTGTCCAGGTTGGGCTTGAATTTATGATCCTCCTGCCTCAGCCTCCTGGAGTGCTAGGATTTCATGTGTATACTCTTATGTTCAACTTATAATAGTTATTTTTTAAAATTGTAGAAAAGATGGGCTAGAAACGTACCAGAAGCTGAGTGTGGTGACACATGCCTATAATCCTAGCACTCAAGAGGATTGAGAAGCAGGACTGCCACAAGAAAGGCTAGCCTGGGCTATACAATGAGTTCAAGGCCATCCTGAATTATATAGCAAGACCCTGTTGCAAAAGCAATACAGAATTGCTAGGCATGTTAGTGACATATTCCTGCTACAGGCAAATTCTCTAAGGCTGACCCTCACATGAGAGAACTACAATGGGACCGGGGAGATGGCTCAGTAGAATAAGAACTTGCCTGGCAAGTGCAAGGGCCTAAGTTCAATCCCTGGTTCCACAAAAAAAGAAGAAAATGAAGAAAGAAAAAAGAGAGAACTACAAATACACAATTGTGTAGTTTGGCTAGGATCTATGGAGGAGGGCCTCCTTTGAGCAATATTACTCAAAGGTGTTTTACAGACCTATGCTCATCTCTGGCCATTTTGTTGTTGTCTTACCAATTTATGACACAAGAAATTAGAAATTCAGTGTTCAGAAGCTAGCACTTGTGTTACCTAAATGCATGACTGTAGACTCCAATCTGCTGAACGGGATCTGGACAGCTTGGGTGGCGTCACACTCGCATGTGAACTGCACACTGTTGGTGGGCAACAGGAGCACATACTGTACATGAAAGATACTTTTAAAAAACAAAAACACCTGGTTGTTTACCATATATAGTTTGAGCAGTCCTGCTCCAGGATACCAAGCTGTATTCCTCTAGAAGTCCTAAAATAATTCAAGAACTGTTTTTTTTTGCTTGTTTTTATGGTTTTGAGAAGTTAACCCCCCGGCCTTTGTGCTGAAGAAAGGGTATATTGGGGATAGAGAATCAACAGAGGTCAACGGGCTCATGGTCAACCAAAGTAAAAATAAAAATGAGTGCCTTGGAAACAAAGCTAAGTAGGGCATCTTTCAGATGCCTGGACTAAGCCTGGTCAGGCCACCAGAAGTGACAACAAAAGAAAACAGGCACGAGGTTCCAAGGGTAAGGCCCTTTTGTTCTCCCTGCTCCTCTCTATTCCTGTCATTTTTTGGCTGGAACTTGTAGGAAGAGAATTTTGGCTTCCAGGCACCATAAACATCATCACAAGTCTGCTTATGCTTTCCCATCTCTCAAAAGCATACAGCAGTTTCACATTCAGACTTAGGCTCTTCCGTGCTCTGAGAAGTCACAGTAGCTGGACTTTCCCTAACAGCCCGAGGCTCAAGAATGTTTCCTTCCTTTCTAATGTCATGGAGTGTATGAGATCTTTAGGGGGTAAAAAGTGCTATCCCAGAGTAAATGACACATCAGGAGCCCACAGTGACTCAGATGATGAATGTTAATTTGTTTTGGCAAGTTACTTTCTAAGTAAACAAGACAGCCTGGATTGATCAGAATATCCCCCATATGATGGTCAAAGTCCACAGATAAAACTCAGAAAGGGAAGGTCAGCTCAAAGATAATTTAGAAAACATGTTAAAAGTATATTATTAATTATACTGTATGAAGTTAAATATAGTATCAGTTGAAGGGCTTTACAGATTAAACTACCCAGGAGAAAATGAGAGAGGATAGTTATCATCTCCTTTGCCAAATGAGTTGTAGGCTGAGCCGAAGAGTAAGAATGGTGGAGGGGCCCAGAAATGTTATAGATTCCCACTTTGTAGCTTACAGAAGCTGAGGAAGACTGGGGAGAGACCTGGATGAAAATCTGGCCATACTCCTCACTCGTAAGATTTATTAGACACTGCCCCTGAGGGCTGCAGGAAAACAGACCCTGCCTGCTCTCCTCCCCCTTTCCCACGTACCTTCCTGAACCACGGGTTCTAAGGGAATCAGACGTCTCAAGCCAAGACACACTAGGAGCAGAGTAGCTATTCATTTGCCAGACCTGACACCACAATTATGTGTTTGCTAGGGAGGTGGGGAGCCATGAATGGTGGATGGGGGGAACAAAATGGGCCCTTCTCTTTCACTGCTTGGACTCAGAAGAGTTGGAATTAGAGAAGAGATAAGCGGACAGGCAGGGGCAAGGGTAGGTCAGGGTCTGGGTTCACGTAGATCACATGGCATTGTAGAAAGAATGAGGGTAGCCACTGAAGGAGTCGAGGGAGAGCTCAGCACCTAGGGGGAAGGAAAACACCAGGGCTTCTATTCCAACTCTACTGTGATTAGACACAAAAGCCCTTTTCCTTTACAGAATTTTGATGGTCTGTGTGAAGCCAAGAGGGATGGTGTCAGACCTGCAGCCTAGCCCAGGCTGTTTCTCTCCATTCCCAAAGACCCTGCCCAAGAAAAGTACAGAAATAACGGTCCCAGGACTCTGCTCCTGTTTCCCAGATTCAAAAGTGGGAGTAGAAGGCACAAAGACCCTGGAATTAAAAAGTGTACATCGGCATGGCCATACATAACATTATTTTGGGAGAGGGAAGAAGGTGCATGCCCCAAAAGGGATGCCTTCTTTCACCTGGCAGGAAGCTGGGCTTTTGCTAGTAGCAGAAACCACAATGGAAGAGGGTTCATACAAACAGCCTGCAGAACAGATCCTATTCCTAGAAAGACAGAGGAAAAGCCTCAGCTGGTATGGCACAGTCTTGAATGGGATGTTAGAGGACAGTAGGCAGATCACTCCTGCAGGTGACAGTCCTGCCTCCGTTCCCAATGGCTCTGCAGACTCCAGATGTTCCCCATGGCTGAGACTCAGGGAAGAAACCGTGTTGTGTGTTTCACATGATCAGACACTGTTCACCAGTAGCACCTGGTGGGCCTGACAGATTGAGGGCATCCAGGTCAAAGTTGAGGCCAGGAGGCTGGAGAAGAGATGAAGGGACTTAGATAACTGCACATATTTCAGATCAATATGGTGCAGCAATGATTAGCACCTTAGGTGGAACCACTGGAGATTAGAGTTCTGGAAACCAGGGGCTCAGATTAAAACCAGAAGATATACTCACCATCTCCCCAGCCAGCTCTTTTGGAGGATGGCCCAAATCCTGCAGCTGGAAAAGAAAGAACATGAGGTAAGATAAAACAAACAAACAATCTTGGAAAACACACATAAAAAAAATTGATTAGCTGGGCTGGTAAGATGGCTCAGTGGTCTAAAGCACCTACTTAGAACAAGCTTAGCAAAGCACAAGGACCGCGGTTCAATCCCCCAGCACCACATGCCAGCCAGCCCCGCCCCCAGGTGGGCTGAGCTGGCCACACACAAAATAAATAAATAAATAAATAAATAAATAAATAAATAAATAAAATTTAAAAAAAAAATTGATTAGCAATCTCTTAGACTTCCTCTGACCATGCAGTGTGGCCTCTCTGGTGCTCTCCCCTCCGCCTAGCTGTGCTGGCAGTACAGCATCCTATCTAGATACCTCTCCCACTTAACACCCAGGTGGACAGCATCGGACAGCAAGAGGAGGCCTCACCTGCTGCATAAGATCTAGCACCATCTCAAAACGTGCCTTCTGAGCAGCCTCACTCTCTGTGGGGGTCTCAGCTTCAAACTGCTCACATATTTTGCCCATGACATTATGCTGCTCCTGATATTTTTCAAATTGCTCTGGAGGTAGAGATTCTCGGTGACTCTGTAACCATTCTGGATACTAAGGAAAGAGACAAGGGGTTGGTAAGACTTAAGCGAACAATGGTAGAGAAGGGAAGGGAAATGTGAGAAAGAATCAAGTCCATCATAAAAAGTAGATCATCTTGCTCTACTTGCATTATGGTAACTACAGACTGGCAAACTAGTTTTGTAAAGCACCAGGTAGTATTTCAGACTTTGAGGGTGACTTGTGGCCTCTGTTACAGATTCTTGTCTGTTATTCTTGGTTTAGTAATAAGCCTTTAAAAATTTACAAACCAGCCAGGAATGGTGGAACATGCCTGTAATCCCAGCATTCTAGAAGTGGAGGCAAGAGAGTTGCGAGTTTGAGCCTTGCCTGGGCAACTCAGTCATTTAGTGAGACCCTGTTTTAAAAATAAAAGGAACCAGGACATTGTTCAGTGCAAAACCCATGGGTTGAATCCCTTAGTACTGGAAGGAGGTAGGAGTAAAACCTATTTTTAGCTTTAAAGTTGAATGTATGTCATACAAACTCTGGTCTGCTGACTACTTCTTGTCTTGTATCTTTTTTTTGTTTTGTTTGGTACCGGGGATCAAACTCAGGACCTTGTGCTTGCCAGGCAGATGCTTATGCCGCTGAGTTATATATCCCTGGCCCACACTGTATCATTAAGACACTTCTTTTCCTTTTTTATCTCTCCAGTCAAACTTTAAATTCTTTGATAGCAGAGACCATCATTTAAACTACTTTTTTTTTTTTTTGCAGTACTGGGACCTTGCGCTTGCCAGGCAGGCACTTAAGCTGCTAAGATATCTCCTTGGTAAAACTACTCTTAAAATATATACATAACTTTTTTTTTTTTTCCTCAGAACCGGGAACTGAACTCAGGCCGTTGCACTTGCCAGGTAAGCACTTATTCTACTAAGCTATCTCCCCGGCCTCAGGATATATAACTTAATGCCCTAGTAGAACCTCAGTGAATCCTTGTTGGCGAAATGAATAAAATCAGAAAAACAAGGGGTTGATCAGACCACCCAAATCTTGAGCCAATTTACAGAAAACTAGTACCAGAGGATTTCCTCTTCTACCTCAGCATTCTCGGGATACTAGTGTTTTCTCAGAGATGCAAACCTTCTACATACCCCCACCTCTTTTTGTATACTCAAGTTACCCTCTAAAGGTTCTAGAAAACTAACCCATACAATCATATGAGGGCCACAGAGAGAAGCAGAGGGCCAGGGATACAGCTACGCCTGCCAAGCACGAGGTCCTGAGTTTGATTCCCAATTCCAAAAAAAAAAAGAGAGAAAGAAAAAAATAAACAAACACAGAAACAGAAATAGATCCACAAACCTTCTCCGTGATCTCCTTCAGTGATGGGTATAGCACATCCTTGGACAGTAGGTTCTGCATGATACTCTGCATGATGGGGAGGATGTTTCCTTCTCCATCCCCTTCATCCATGCCCAGCCCTTCCATGGCCTTGTTCAGTTCCTCATCTGACATGCCTGAGTTCTACACAGGACAAGGGAGCAGTAAACAGGCGTACTACTTCCTGGGAAGCTTACAACTCTTTAAGGTAGGAAAGAAGTATCTAAATATGCACATAGCAAAATAATGCGGCAGGGCCAGGTTAAAGAAGCTATCCAGAAGCATCTGTTTTTTGAGACTGCAGGTGAAGTGTGAAAGTGAGCTCCCTATGTTCTCCTATCCCTTTCCCCTTACCTGAAGGTCAGTGGCATTTTTGGCTAATCCACTTAATGTCTCCTTTAGGCAAGTAGTGAATTCTTGCTGGGAGGTCGCATCACTGCCTACAGGAGATTAAAATAACTAGGGTTATTTAGTATTTTAACAGTTTGCCTACACAGAATAACCCAGTTATCAGCTGGGATATGAAACAACTAGAAATCATTATCACTTCAAATCTTTGATTACTCTGCTATGATTTTCATAGTCATTTCATAAACCCACATAGATTGTATGTCAGTTTATTCTTAACAGTGACACCCACTCACAATAACTTTATTCTTTCAGTCAGCTTTAGATAATGTATTACCTTCCAACCTATCTTACCTTTTTCATTAGGCAAGGTTCCTATACCTTCCTCCCATTGCCTTGCCCCCCCACCCATGTCTGTGATATCATAATTGCTTTACTGAGAATCCTGCTGTCAGGTATTTTCCTTTGACTGGAGTCTCCTCACCCACTCTCCCAGCAGCCTCTGAGAGCTTTTGGAACTGCTCCACCAGGTGGGGCTCTTCCTCAGCCAACTCTTTCATTGCCTTCTCAAACTCTGCAGTAGCTTGGGAAGCCAGCTCACTGTCGAACAGTTCCTGGAAAAACTTCTCTTGGGAGGCGAACAAGGCATCCTGAGGGGAGTCATGGGAAAAATGCAACTCTTATGGCGCCATTTTGTTCCTGGCTTCTGACAGAAGTCTAGGTTATAAGTTCCGGGATATGCAGCACATCCTTCCTACCAACTCTATCCAATCCATCTACCTCTTCCCATCTGGACGGCAAAAAAGGCACTTACTGAGGAAAGGGTATGAGTTGGAATGATCAATTCCACCCTTTAAACCTCCTCTTTTTTCAAGGAACTTCTCTGAGATCCCTCTACTCAACCTCAGTACTTATTTTACAAGGACTGAAACCAGTAAGAACACTCAGCAATGTGAGGCCAAGGCACCCTCCCAACCTCCCCTCTGGCCCATAGGGGCCTACCCACCTCTCTCCAGAACTATATGCCCATCCCCTCCCTCTCCCTCTCCCTTGAGAAGTTGGTATTTATACTTTGGCTGTGTCTCCTGGCGATCTCTTCTGGGGCCCCGAAGCATCTGGGGCCGTGGTGGTAGGAGGGGGTGCTGGGGAGGGTTTGGCTTTATCGAAATCATCAAGGGCACCTTCAGAGACAAGAGACATGGTGTGTGTGTTGGGGATAGATGAGAACGCAAAGCTGGGTGGTTTCTGGGCAAAGCAGAAAAAAAGCACTTTTTAAAGTGCCAACTTTTCTTTCCCCCGTTTTTTTTGAACCTCTCCCTCATAACTCACTGATCTATAAGCCTCCCAACCTCCTTTAGGATTACCTAAATTTTGTGATCAAAAAGAAATCCCTCTTAAGATAAAATAATTCTCCATTTAAGAGTTGGGGGAGAGGGGCCGGGGAGATAGCTCAGTAGAGTAAGTGCTTGCCTAGCAAGCACATGGGCTTGAGTTCAATTCCCGATTCCAAAAAAAAAAAAAAAAAGTTGGGGAAGAGGATTCAAAAGGTACTGGAGAGAGCTGTTCATCTCTATGTTTTAATAAATCCTCAGAAATCTCATATAAATATCTAATAGAAGCAGAGGTCACTGATGTCCACATCTCCCTGAGCTCCCATTAGATCCTTAAAGTGACTGATCTTTGTCCAAAACAATACAAGATGTCCTACCCAGCTTTCCATTAATCTTGGTACTAACACAAACGAAAGGACTCCATACTACACTCCACAGCAGGGTGTTAACACTCTTGTATTATCCTACAAAGTAATTCTTCCTTATCAAAGTCCTACAGCCCTCTCTGGCCTCATCTCTGTAGATAACTCTGTGCCAATTCAGTCACCTGGCACTTCTTACTGCTTCTATTCACTTTCCTACTGGCCCACATGTATGTGACTGAGCAAGAGATTTTTTTTTTTTTTTTTTTTTTTTTTTTTTGTGGTGGAACCAGGGATTGAACTCAGGCCATTGCGCTTGCCAGGGAAACGCTTATTCCACTGAGCCATCATCTCCCCGGCCCCTGAGCAAGATTTGAAAAAAAAAAAAAAAAAAATTCACCTATGTCCTGAAAAGCCTGTGTTGTCACCAACACCCTGCTTGCCAGGCCTAGGCAAAGGGCACTGGCCCCACTCTGGGCAGGAAACCAACAGAAGAGTGGAGAACAAGGCTAAGAAAGAAAAGAACATCCACTGGCTTTCAGGAAGATAAAACTGAATTCCCCTGAGATCTGTTCATTCTCTTTCTCAAAATTATGGAAAGGAAGTCTGCTTTTGCTACTGACGCGATAAAAGACCTGTAAGGGTCTCCTAAGAGAAAAGACCGAGGGGAAAATGCCTTTTGTGCTAAGAAAGGCAGGAAGAGGCATGGAACGGTGTCCTAGGGGTTTAAGAGTTAAGGTAAGTAACCTATGTCTGCGGCGCTGCCCACCGAGAACTAAGTACTGACACTGGCCTATGAGGAGTTGGACTTCGACGATTTACTCGTTTAAAGCAAAGGGAGGAGAATCGTGAAAACACCGTCACACTGTTACCATTCCTCCCCTCCCTCAGGAAGATTAACTGTCTGAACAGCTGAGGGGCCCAAGGTGAATTCCCTAGTTTCCGCGGCGGAGGAGGGACACGGTGAACTGAAGATTTTCTATGGAGCTGCAGGCAGACCTTCGCCCCTGCCAACCAGTGGAGAGAGACTCCCGCTCCGCCCCAAGTATCTCAGGCTCCTTTAACCCCAATGAGGAATCGGTCCTCATGCCTGCCCGCTCCGGGCTTTTCCTGTCACGGGCTCTTACTTTCCAGAAGCTCCTCCAATTCCCGGTCCGCCTCGGCCGCAACACTACTGTCTTCCTCAGAGGCAGCCATCTTCTGCCTCCGACTTGCCGTAGGAGGCGGGACTCCAGGTGCGGCCGGGTGCCCCACCCCTAGCCCCGCCTCCCCAGCTTCGTGCAGCCAATGGAATCCTTGGTTTGTGGGGCGCCGCCATTTTTAAAGGGACCATAAACTGAGGCTTTTTTTTTTTTTTGTCCTCAAAGATATCATTTATTATATTTTGCGTTATCCTCACAATCTTTCTAGATAGGCATACATAATATAGAAACACTGTATGAAAAACCTCGTATACTGAAGCTAGAATTTTACTTTTCCAAACCATTGTAAGATAAGAAAAATGTAGTCTCTCGCACGCACATTACCACATTCTCTCTAGTAGTCTGCATATCTTACAGTATCACATATTTATGTATATGGCAGTTGGAAATAAGAGAATACCTTTTGGTTTTCTATACTAGGTTACAAGTTTTAGAAGTCCTGAACCTAGTACAAGAAAAATTTTCATTTGAAACCTCAGAGTAGTCTCTTTACAGTCTAAATTATATTTTTTAGAAAGTCAAGATATTTGCTTTGTTCTATTTATTTCTTTAAGGGACGGGGAAGAGGTTTTTTTTTTTTTTTTAAAAAAAAAGTTCTCTGTTTCCAAAAGCTTTCTCAAAAGACCGGGGATTCATTTTCATGACACAACAGTGTCCTCAAAGCTTTTATGACAATCTCAATTCAAATACCTATGTTTTCTGAAATCCAGTGTATTTATCTGGACACGTTCTTGTATACGTATGAAAGAAAGGAACCAGCACTTTGGCTTCAAAAGCAAATTTATAATTACAAATCTAACTTGCCTTTGATAAGGGACCACTCAGCTAAGTTAGCCTCAATCATTACATCTAAGGAAACTGGAATTAATTAAGGGACTGCTGCTTCAAAGAACTATGCCTCCAATAAGGGAAGGAGAGAGGAATTCCAAGTCCACACACCACGTTCAGAACTAAATATCAACAATCTCATTCTTTCAATATCTATAAATAAAGTAAATGAAGGAAACAAGAATTACATGTTAAAAAGTACATAGAAAACACAATGCTTTTCATTACATTTGTCCCTTACTACATTACAATAAAATGCTTGTAAGAAAATAATCAAGTAAAACAATAGGGTAGTTATGGTTCAGAAGCTTTTGAGAGAGCTGGGCAGGACGGTACACTCCTGTAATCCCAACACAGGGAGGCTGAGGCAGGGGGATCACGGTGAGTTCAAGGTCAGCCTAACCTGCACAGTGAGACTCTGTCTCAAGATCAAAAAAAAGTTCTCGAGAGCGTGCAAATGATATATTCCAGGAGCACTTGGGACACTGACGCAGGATCACTGTGAGTTAGAGGCCAGCCTGCGCTCCCTAGTGAGCTCAAGGCCAGCCTGAACTTCGCAGCTGAGACCCTGTCCCAAAAAAGAAGGGAAAGAAAGAATGAGGATCACTTGCCCTAACTTAAATTTAATCCCCTGTCCTGAAACAGATCACTCCGCAAGCTCAACATCTACACTGGGCCTTGAGAAGTCAAAGTAGAAAGTAAAATTATACAAAGCCAGAGATTCCACCAGTACATCTAGACAGATGTTTGCTTGTAGTTTTTGGTATCCAAAACTTTTTTTCCACACATCGCACAGATGCCTTTCTTGTAGGCGCAGCCCTGGCAGTAGTGGGACCCCGGCTGGTGCACAGAGCTTTTACAAATTCTGCAAGTGGAGAACTTATTCTTTCCATACGGATCGAATCTTGCCTTTTTTGAAGTCAATGCTTTATTTTCATTCAGTTTTCTTCCACCACTTTCTGTGGTATTTCTCGCACCATCTTTCCATGTGTCCGGCGTAATAACAGTACCAAGTTTCTTTTCACATTTTTCGCACACCATCCTCGCGCCCACTAGCCCCTCAGCCGCAGAAGATCCGGCAGCTCGAAAACATCCTAAACTGAGGCTTTGATGTTTTGTTTTTGTTTTTCCTTTTGCAAAGAGCCTTTATTTTTATTTATTCATTCATTTTTTAATGAATTTATGGCAGGGGCTACAGGTTGTACAGGGTCTCACTGCGTAGATCGGACTCGTAGTGATCCTCCTGTTTTCAGCCTCCCAAGTGCTGGGATTACTGGCGCGCGCCGCCACGCCTAGTCTCAATCTCTGTCTCAGCGCGCCCGATTTGGGGGGACAGGGGGAGGCCGGCACGACACGCCGGGGATCGAAAACCGGCCGCTACGCTCTGGTGGTAGCAGGTGCTTTAGTCCGGGGAGCAATCTGATTGGCCCACAGAGAGCCTTTAGAAAGGAAATTATACTGTTATCTTCTGCCTTGTTTATTACTGGCTTGGAGTCTTTGCTCAGCTTCGCTCATGACCTGGAGAAGCTCTTCCATTATATATTCCTGAGCTTTGGATAGGCCAGATGAGGCCAAAATGCCTGAAATGAACCAGAATCTATGCATTTATAACCGAGAAGGTAATCATGATGCATGCCATTATTTCCCTCCTCACTTTAATATTTCACTCAGCCAAATCAAAGTTCAACCCCTGCCCCCCCCCTCCCCCTGCTCAACACCAAACACTGACCTACTATATAGCCATTTATCTTGTTCATTGTCTGTCTCCCTCAACCTCCACAGATTTTGAGGGCCATTAAGGTAAGGATTTCCACTGTTGTCTTCACTGCTGTATTCTCAACTCCTAGGCTAAGGTTTAAAATTTAGTAGACACTCAAAATTTAGTAGAGCTGGCTAGTTATTCTCCCAGACCCCAATCAGGCTCACTTCTTTGCCTAAATTAAGTGGTATCATTTACTATTCTCCATCAGTGCTGTCAGGACTCAAGGCCAGCAACTTGGAATTCAGTATTAGACAGAAAAGGTAGACTGTAGAAGCTTAGGCTGAGCAAAGGAATTTGCATAGAGTGTAGTAGCTGACCTTTTTTGATTTATCTTCTCACACAGAACCCAACCAACACTGGAGTGAATATTTATTGAGACCTGTTAGAATGTAACAACTAAAATAGACATAATCAGCTCTTAGCATCTTCTGTTGTTTAGGATTTTGTGCTGGGAGGGGATCAGGACCAGACCCTGCTGTAACTAGTTGATGTAGGATCAGTTAGAGGTGAGGTTAGAATCGCACACAAAAAGTAGAAGAGACCTAAAAGAGTTAAGGATGCTTTATAATTTTAAATGGGAGAAAACTCATCAGTTTTATCCTAATTAATTTTATTGGTATTGCTGTGTTAATTTACTCCCCCCCCCACCCAGGATTGAACTCAGGCTCTTGCGCTTGCCAGGGAAGTGCTTATTCTACTGAGCCATCTCCCCAGTCCCAAATTTACTTTTTTACACAGGGTCTTGATAGATAGTCCAGTTTGGTCTTGAACTCAGTTTGTAGTTCAGGCTGGCCTGAAACTCAAAGCAGGCCTGTTGCCTCAGCCTCCCACTTGCTGGGATTACAGGTGTGTAATGCCCACCATGCCCAACTTGGAACAGTTCTGATATACATAATGATCACATTCGTCATAGGGAATTTGCACCGGTGCATAACATATTTTGATGCTTTTTTTTTTTTTTTTTTTGCCATTCCCCTACTCTCCCCTTCAACCCTTCTTTCCTTATTTACAAAAGCTTTATTTTTTCCATATATATTGCCTTTTCCCTTCCTTCTCTTTCTCCTCTCCCCTCTTTTTCTCTCCTAAACATTTTTTCCTACTTCCCAATTTCTGTCATCCACCTTGATCCTTATCTACTCCTTCAGTATGATACAAGGGAAATACTGACATTTAAATGTATGTGTGTGGTTTATTTCACTTAACAAGTGTGGTCTCAAGGTGAACTCATTTACCTAGAAATGTCTCAAGCGCATGCCCCGCCCCCTTTTTGTTTTGGTGGAACTGGGGATTGAACTCAGGCCCTTGCACTTGCCAGGGAAGCTTTTTTTTTCAATACCAGGGATTGAACTCAGGACCCTGTGATTGCCAGGCAAACACTTAATCTACAGGGCTATCTCCCTGGCCTAGAAGTGCTTATTCCACTGAGCCATTTCCCTGGCCCCAAGCTTATCCTTTATGGCACAGTAATATAATACTTCATTGTATATAAAAAAACCACATCTTTCTTTTAACCATTAATCCATTGATGGGCATTTGGACTGTTTCCAAGATTTAGCTATTAAAAATTGTACTGCTTTATAAACATGAGTGTGCAGACAGACCTCATCTAAATGGGAAAAAAATTTTTTTTGAGATAGGGTCTCATGATGTAGTTCAGGTTGACCTTGAACTTACTATGTAGCCCAGGCTGGTCTCAAACTCGTGATGATTCTCGTGCCTCTTAAACATACATTTGAGTATTGCATTAAGCATAGGATTTGGGCATAGAGCTTTCAAATCATACCTGTAAAAAATCATATTGTTTTCTCACAAAGACAAGTAGTATATTTCTGGAGAGTGTTCTGAACTGGGAGTTATAAAACCCAATTTCTTTTTTTTTTTTCCTTCTTTTTTTTTCCATAATTTTATTGAGAAACAAATAGCAATGAGATAATTTCAAACCAAATTGGTAGTACAGTTTCAGTAATTAATACATTGCATATTTTTTTCTTAGTGGTTAATTGCTGTACAAGATGCAGACATGATATCCTATTTACAAACACTATTAGAACAAATCCCTGTATTAAGAGAATGCAACTATGTCTCTATCCTAACCATTTTGAATACACAGATACAAAATGGACATTCATCTGTATCTCTTTTTTGTTAAGTTCCGTTATTTGAATATTATAGGTGTGTGAACTCAGCAAAATATTCTAAAAGAGTCCAGTAGTCCATAATAGTATTGGGTCTTCCGCTTCACTGGCAGGGTCAGAAATTGTTGACCTGAGTCCCCCACAGCTCAACATAACAGCATGGCTTTACTTCTTATATTTTGTTTTTAGACTTTTCTGCTGGATGGTTAAGACCAAGGTAAAACAGGACCTATGCAACAAGAGTTGTAGCTTTTGGGTTTGATAAGGTCAATGAAATCCCCTCAGGATTTATGCTGAGATCCTGTACCTCAGACTGTAGAACCTTTGTCAGTGCAGCCATGTGGATGAGTCACGGACATTGCTTGGCCAATGTGCTCTCTGTGAAAGCCTGAGAGAATGTTTTAAAACCCAATTTCTAAACCCAGCACAGTGATACATTCCTGTAATCCCAGTAATCTCAGCACTTGGGACGTTGAGGCAGGAGATCACTGTGAGTTCGAGGCCAGTCTGGTCAGCATAGATAGAACCTGTCTCAGAAAACAAAACACCCCAAAACTAAGTCCTTTTCAATCTAAACTTCTATAATCAAATCCTTTTCTGGGTAACCTCTCACTGCAACATTTCTGTTTATTCCAAACTAACATTTTTGTTCAACTCCAGACTACTTACATGTTCATCTCTAATAGTTATGTTAAAAAATATAAAACTTGGGGCTGGAGAGATGGCTCAGTGGTCTAAAGCACCTACTTGGAACAAACTTGGCAAAGCACAAGGACCACGGTTCGATCCCCCAGCACCACATGCCAGCCAGCCCCGCCCCCTGGTGGGCTGAGCTGCCCCCCCACACTAAATAAATGTAAAAAAAATAAAAAAAAATAAATATGTAGTTCTTGTCATGACATACCATTAAAAATAAATATATATAAAACTTACCTGCTTTGTACTATATCAGCATGTTAATAAAAATACTAGAAAATAATTAAGATGGAACTGGGGAGATAGCTCGATGGTCTAAGTGCCTACCTGGCAAGTGCAAGGACCCAGGTCAGTCCCCAGGTCAGTCCTTAGTACCGCATGCCTTGCCAGCCTGGCACCATCAGCCACTGAACCTGGGCGTGGTGGTGGCGCAGCATGCCTGTTATCCTAGCAATGGGGAGGCTGAAACAGGAGGATCACTATGAGTCCAAGAAGTATATCAGAGGAGCTAGGGAGATGGCTCAGTAGAATAAGTGCTTGCCTGGCAAGCGCAAGGGCCTGAGTTCAATCCCCGGTTCCACAAAAAAAAAAAAAAAAAAA